GGGGAGAGGGTTGGGGAGACGGAGCAGTTCCACACCATGGCCCCCCCTTCCCAAGGGACCCCCTAAACACTGGTGGACGGCACCAACACCCGGGAAGTTCACTCGAAAGTCCAGCTGGGTTTTCTCCTCCTGCCCCTCTCCCCAAAGAAAAACCATCTTCAGCCCCAGCCGGTGTGGCTCAGTGGCTCCCGTCCTCTCTTTCTCTAAAACAAAAATCAACAGAAACATATTCTTAAACCGACAGCAAACCATGGCGGCCCCCCATCCCCGAAAGTCGCTGGACCGTCACGTGAACTGTCTTTCCTATAAACCAGCGGTTCTCAACCTGTGGGTCGCGACCCCTTTGGCGGTCGAACGACCCTTTCACAGGGGTCGCCTAAGACCATCCTGCAGATCAGATATTTACATGACGATTCATCACAGTAGCAACATGACAGTGATGAAGTCGCCACGAAAATAATTGTATGGTTGGGGGTCACCACAACATGAGGGACTATATTGAAAGGGCCAGAAGGTGGAGAACCGCTGCTCTAAACCCTCCGGCCGGGCAGCTTGGCGGTACCTGGGTTCGATGAGTTGGCGTCGAGATGCGTAAGACCCGCGGGCTATTTGGGGTCATTCCGACGGGGCCCACGGAGGACAGGCCCAGGCGCCCGCCGCCCCCACAGGCCCACTCTCAGAGCTCGATTAGCGCTGGGGAGACGGGCTAATGGAGGGCCTCCTCCTGACCTAGCAGCTCATTGATTGTTAATCCCGAGCTCGAGGACTTCTCTTTGGCGAAGGAACATTTGTCCAGATGAAATGAACGCCTGTCAGGAAAGCACATCCCGATCTGGCAGCCGTAGACCGAGACCGCCTGCCTGTAGTGAGTGCCCTTATGTGCAAAAATGACACAGAACCAGCCGAACCAGGAGGTCCCGGGTTCGATCCCTGGTCAGAGCACATACCCGGGTTGCAGGCTCCATCCCCAGTAGGGGGCGTGCAGGAGGCAGCCGGTTTGTGATTCTCTCTCGTCATGGATGTTTCTCTCTCCCTTTCTGTTTTTGTGGTGGTTGTTGTTTGTTTGTTTCTTTTAGAACTATGTCTGATTTTTTTAAATATGATTTTTAATTGATTTCAGAGAGGAAGGGGGAGGAAGAGATAGAAACATCCATGATGAGAGAGAATCATGGATCGGCTGCCTCCTGCACGCCCCACACTGGGGATCGAGCCTGCAACCCGGGCATGTGCCCTGATGG